TAACATTAATTGAAGATGAGAAAGTGGAGCCTGAAATTGAAGAAGGTAATTGTATCCAAAATATAAAATTTATCAACCCCAAGAAAACTCATTACTAATTACAATTTATCAAATAAAGTTGACAGATCATTCCTTATGCAAATTCAACGATTATATATTGTGAGATAGTAAAATAAGGACCGATAGAGAGGTCCCCACTTTGCCGATCCAAACCAAATTACTGCGTGAGGCACGTGACCATCATCACATCATTTCTATTTTTATTTTTATATTTTGTGCAACTACTGCGCCACATATTGCGCAGTATCACACGAACAATTATTCATGTTCATATTTCTATATTTATATTTCAAGAACTTATTCAGCTGATGCAAATATTTATTTTGAATTATTAATCATCATTTTGTAATGCTCAGTTGATCCAAATATTTAGTTAGCATTAATAAGCATATTTTATTGGGCAAAATAGAGTAAAAGTCATGTTATTTGTAATATCCCAAGAGGTATAAAAAGACTTGGTTTTAGACCAAGTCAGAATCATTAGGTTCATAATAATCTTTTAATTATTGATCTAATAATTAATACTTCTGTAATAATACTATTATCATTGCTAATAAACACATAACATATTTTACCCTAAAAATATTAATCTTTAATTTAAACTAATCACCTGTCAAAGGGAAACCTTTGCTGAACTCAGCAAGAAACTACAACCTTAATTATTGAAACACATCTCAAAGGGACACCTTCATCAGGAAAATGGGTACAAATATTATGCGTATATAATACACAATTGCAGGGATTAAGCATATAATATGTGTACAAATCGTGTATTTTTTTATGTATGCAAATTGTACATATATTATATGCTTAATCCCTGCAATTGCATATTATATACGCATAATATTTGTACCCATTTTCCTGATGCTTTGGGATATAACTATTTACATAGAACCTAGGGACCATTTTATCCAGGAAGATAAAAGTCAATTTTTATTTAACTTGACCATAAGTCAGTGGGTAGGCTGTGTGTTGAGCATTAAATAACCTACCAATTAGGAAACTCGGATTGCATGCTTGCAATATAAACAAAAACAAGAAAATGAAACAATGGAATTAAATCCAGAAACTTTTCAAAAATTGCTAACAGAACAAGATCCATTACTTGAAGGCTTTTTTGAAGAATTAACAAATGCATTGGTCCCTGAAAGATGTTCTGCAACTAACCAAGAAGAAGCAAAAAAATCAATTGCTGGATTTTGTTATTTATTAGCTGGCCTTAGAAATAAATTTGTTAATTCTATTAAACTTGATATTGGTTTATCTTGTATCATCTGTACTAGTTCTATTTCAATAAATACTTTACAAATGCTGGAATATGTGCAAACTATAAAACAATTGCCAATCATAAAAAAAAATTAGCAAACATTCACTCTGGATCTATGAATAATTATTTTAATTAAATTAAATGTATATATTATGTATAAAGTTGTTAATTATTCATATATACTTTTGTTAAATATTAATTTATTTATAATTTTAGATACATCATTTGTTTATATTTAATATTGATGATTTTCATGATATTCATGAAAAAAGAAGGCCAGATGCTACATTTTTATCAACAGTAAAACATTTTGCAAGTTGTATAGCTAAAAAAGTTGAATGCCATCCAGTTTCAGCAATGAATGAACAAGTTTCAATACATAATCCTAATAATATAGAAGCCCATAAAATCCAACATTATCTTATTAATAAATATAAAGGAACTTTTGATATTAGTTACGAATCCAGAAAAAATGAATGGATCGCCAAAGATTTACATATATTTAATTCTTTTGACAATGATGATCTTCTTCATCAGGAAATTTTCCCCGCTGTAATATTATGTCCATTAATTTTGATATGTAAAGTTGTAATATTTGCATAATATTACAGGCCTGCCGTAAACTTATGTAAATAATGTAATAATTATGTAAATCCGTGTCAGAAAAAATTTCCTGATGCTAGTATACATGTATATAATGATGCTATTAAAGGAAAACATGAAGAAAGATCAATGAAGGATGAAATATCAATTATACCTACCTCTTTTATATCTTTCAAATTTCGTGGGATCTAATTGAAAAAAAAACTGCAAAAATAGGTAGGAAGAGTGGGATATTTAAGAGGGGATATAAAAGGTAAACGATGGCTTTAGTTGACGATCCGTCTATTGCTATGAATGAGTGAGTTGCACGGTCGATATCATCTGTAGCCATTAATTGCTCGGCGGAATTTAATAGATTTTATTTTTTTAACTAGTTATTTATTTATTATAAACAATCAAATACAGATTCAGAATTACGAGATAATGATTCTCCAGATAGACAAGAATTTAAACAGGAAAAATAATAAGCAAAGTTACGCGCCAACTTTTCGTTTTAATAATATATTTAATAATATTAATCACGCAAAAATCTAACTGGGTGGAATTTTTAAAGAAACCAAGTTCCGAATTCCATTGAAATTAGACCCCGTTTATTTATTATATGTGTGTGTGTAACCTTATACCCGATCAATCTTAGGAGATGACATATTTTAATTTTGAGTAAAATTGCCCTTTGTTTTTGATGATGGTATATTTAAAAAAACGGGTATCGGTCTCAAGTGGTACATTTGAATTGGGTATTAACCTCAAAATGTAACATTTGGAAATAGAGTATTTTAGGAGGTTGTATTAGAATTTTGGTAAAGTTAAGCGGTGCGACGATTTTTCCTCTTTTTTATAAATAAATAAAAAATGGTAAAAGTATACTAAATAGCGTTTGTAAACCATGGATTTGTTCAAAAAGTTTATGATGATGGTACTTACGTTGTAGTAATTAAAACGTCCTTCTGATGTAGATTATATAAATCTGCATATAAAAAGGTGATGGTGAAAAAACACCAAGTAATTACTAAATTAATATTTGTCATCAATAAAATTTTTTTTCATGCATTGGTCTTTGTGATGACAAGTATAAATCATATATTAAACGTACTGACAACTATCTCCTTTGGTTTTTCCTATCCCTTAAAATGTAGCACAAATTTTGTGTAAGTGTGATGAAATTAAAGACAAAAGTCACTCATTACCTAATCCAATAAATATTTATATTATTTCATTTTGCACACACATTATTATAATTCTTACAATTCACATGATGTAATTTTATTTAGATAATTTATTTTTATTTTAATAGGAATAATTTTTTATAGAATAGGCGTTATTATTCTTCAAAACTAGGAGTTTAAATTAGTTAGTAGACTTTCAAGCATTTCTTATTTTAGATAATCCATACAATTTAGTCTTTATTTGAATAAATATTTTCCTTTTCATAATAAATTTTGAAGCAATTTCTATTACTATTACAACATAATGGAACATTACATGATGTACACCAAAAATTAGATAATGGAGGTCTTTGCTCAGTTTTCAATAATAAGTACCTGCACAACATACATGAAAATCTTTTTTCTTTCCATTCTACAAAATGATTATCAGTAGTTAATCTATCATTAGGAAGTTGAGAATTAGAGCCCATTTTAATATTTTGATAATTAATTATTAATAACAATGCAAAAAAATAAAAAATTTTATTGTAGCTTCAAAAAAAAATTTTTTGACGTTAATATAAAATGATCGGCATTAGAAGAAAATTTCGTTCATTGTATGATGTTCGATTATTTTATGCAATAATCATTGTATGATGTTCGATTTTTTTTTTTTATTATGATAGTGGCGTGATCTCAAAGATCATTTTTCACTCGCATCATTGTTGCAAATACAATTTAAGGAATAGGTTTAAAAATAAAATATTCTTAAAATCTGATCAACTAGAACATCTTGAATAAGAACTTGTCAATCAACCAAAATGGAGAATTCAAAGTCTGTCAATTCGAAGTGCAGATTGTAAAAAGGATATTGCATGTCTCAGGTTTTTAAAATATTATATTTTAGTAAATTCATTATTTAATTATGTACTTTTATTATTATTTGCTAGATAACAATCAGGTTTATTCCAAAATTAGCTGTATAGCAGTGCAGTCAACTAATAGTGATATTATATCAATATAGAGGTTGAATAATCTTTTTGATTAAAGCTTGTCGAACTGGGCGAAAAAGTATCATTTAAAAGGCGGCCCATATTTGGGAAATAGCAAAGAAAGAAAATGTGGGAAAAGGAGCGCATTATTTTGAAAAATCATCAGGTTTTATTGTTATTTTATCGTCTTTAAGTACTTGTGCATATAATGTCTTCAAAAAAATCCAGCTGGACGTGCATTTTATTATTCATTATGTTATTTAAAGAAATAAAAAAATTGCGGTTTTTTCACATACGGTATTTATTGGAATTCTCTAAAAAAAAGAAGCGGATGGAGAAAAGGCGGTTTATTGTTAAACCTAAAATGTTCTGATCCACACAGCACATTATAAATAATAACAATATTTTGTATTATTTGGAGTCATGCCACTGTTCTATTATACGTGATTTGTTAATAATAATATTTTATTCTGAATATGTGACAAATTATATCATAACAACCCCAGTTTAATTTTCACAAGTTATTTGTCAAACCATTGATTCCAAAAAAGGACACGGCAGAAAATGACATAAGCATATACGCACTCAAAATAATCCATGTGCAGAGTTAAATCACATATGGGCATACTATGAACTTACACTTACAAGGAAAAAAATTTTACTTGTTAGATTTGCTAATCTATTTATACACGCGCAAGAACACCCTTTGTGATTACAAAAAAAGAAAATAATAAAGGAAGGTAAGTACTTGATTGTTTCATAATAATTCAGTTTGGACTTTAATGACCTAGAAACTCAAAGAGCCCGTTTCTCTTTAACTATTGTTTCTCTATCCACTTAATTACACCAAATATAAACAGAGCTCGATCCGTGGCTTTTTTTTTTAATACTATATTTAACTGACGAATGAATGTAAGATTTCATACACAAAAATAGTTTTAATGCCATCCTTTGTAAAAAAAAGGACAGATTTTTCATTCATGATTGTTGAACTGCATGCAAAAGCAAGTTTGACAGCTCGATTTGTCGATTTTCGTCATTCATCGCCAGCGCGTTTTGTTTATAAAAAGATAGCAATTTTTTGTGAATTTAGTTCTTTCGCGCCGTTAAAAAACAATTTTATTGTTATGATGATAATTCGTAATCATTCATCAAATTGACTGGTCCATTGAGAACAGATGGATTTTGGACTGGTCCATTGCCATTAATATGGTTAAAGTGTTACACTAATGGACCCAATGGACCACCAATGGACCATCAATGGACTGCACATTTGCCAACCCTGATTCATCATAATCGTCGCCAACAATTAATTCCTTAACTCTATTAAAAAATATGCATAAAAATAAGCTTTTAAGAAACCGTTTTTTATAACAAGCGCAAAAATTAAGCCAACTATTAGTTCCATTGCAAGTTTATTTTCCGTATCATATATTAATATATAAATACCTTTACGGGGAAGGTTAGAATTATTTTTTTTAAACAAGTATCATAATTACGGAAATTCAATTTGTTAACTCATATAAAAATATCCAAATTTATACACTCTGAAGTCACGATTTTTTTTTGAAATTTGAAAATCAAATCTTATTATTATCGTCGGATCACGGAAATTTACGAATAAATAAACGATTAATCAAAAAAAAAAAGAATATTTGAATTCCGATTATTTGAAAATGATAAAAAAGTGCAAAATATTGTCTTACAATTAAGTTTTTTATTTTTCATGTATCTAATTTTTATTTTTAAATTAAGATTTTTTTATGTTTGAGAATAAATTTTTAAAGAATAATAAAATTTTTTATTTATATTAACGATCTGTCTAGAGCTTGGTGGGGAAGCATTAATCATTACATCCCCAAAGTAATATTTTTTTCCAATACTAGCAAAGAAAATAAAAAGTGATAAAAATTTACTATTATCATTTCAATGTCGATCATCCCACACATTGACAGAGCATAATTATAATTGAACTGGCATGGTGGAAATGGGGCAACAAAACAAACAAGGATATTCCCAAAAAAAAAGTTGTTGAGTAAATATGCTTACCTTGAGATGATGATGCTTACACCTGCATGTCATTTTTCTGCTATCAAATGAGCCAAACTATTTAGAACTGCATTCTTCAAGAAGAAAGCCCAAGTAAACAATTTCTGTCGAATTATTTCATTTTTATTTTACAGGGAGTGAAAGAAAGATAAATGTTTAAACCAAAAATTTTATTACCAAACTTATGGACGCTGAAATTCTTTGAATAGTGTACAATCAAATCTCAGAGAATGGTTTTAGGCCCATAACCTACTCTAGAACTTTGGTATAGGAAACAATATAATTTTATAGAATGATCTTAAATATTACGCCAATAGGCAAAAAAAATAAAATGCAATTTTTTGTTAAACATTTATTTATTCACTGTCTTTGCCCATGGATGATTTCGTTTGTAACCAATTAGATGAAAGCCAAAAGTCGCATCGTAGCAAACGTTAATTTGCCATTTGCCACGCTTATGATATTTTTCAATTGAGGATAATGGTTCCTGTCGTTTCTCAGTGATTTAAAAAATACCACTGGTATAGATAGTGAAAGCTCAATGACGTAATAAATCTTCACTCGCCGTGATTTGAAGATAAAAAAATTTTAGAGATCGCAACATGTTACACGAACTTTTGATTGTTAAACGCGGGTTGGCAGTTATATATTTCTACGTAAAAACAAACTTTTCCTTTTAAAATTTAATATGGAAAAAAGCAATTATTATCATAAGAAACAAGAATTCATAGAATCACAGATTGAGATACTTCAACAGAATTTATTTAGTTATTCAGAGGAATGGGCCAAAGAAAATGAAGAGTCAGATAATCGAATTCCAAAACAAGTTGTAGATCCAGTGATAAAGAAATGTATATAATATAACTTGTAACATTAAATGGTCTGGATTGAAATGAACAAATTTAAAGAAAATGTTTTATTAAAAAAAACAATTTTTATTACTATATACTTTGAAAATGTTATTATTAGTGATGACAAGCATTAAAAGTCAACAAAAACAAATTTTTAATAACCAAACAATTCGACAAGTTCTTGATCAACTTCAATTTTTATATTATCAAAAGCAAAAAAACGCGTTAGAAGGATATATTAGAGTGGAAGAGAGTGATTTTCAAGATCCAAAGTAATTAAATTTCATTTAATAATTAATAATCATAATGTCGATAATAATTATAATAGTGATTGATATATTGTTGTTTTTTAGATGGATTGAATCATTTCCAGAAGAATGGTCGACATTGGAGAGTAATGAAACATATAAAGAAGAACTGAAAGTGTGAGATATATATAATTATTATATATAGTTAAATATAGTCGTCTTGATATCCTTGATATTATATAATATATTTATACTGTATATCCATCCATTTACATCATATATGATAGATATGCAGAAATGCGAGAAAAAGTTTACCAAGCACAAAAAGAATTTATGGAAGTTAAAGAAAAATATGAATATTACAAACATTTAAATGAATTATTGTCGAGAATGAATACAAACAACATACAAAAGAATATGCTTGTTAAAAATTCACCAATTTATAATGAAGTTGAGAAAATGAAAAATTTAGGTGAAAAAATTTTTGATTATTATTTTTTTTTTTTTTTTATTGTGAAAATTTTTATTGAAATTATTGTTATATTATATTTTTAAAGTGGTAAAGATGACCAATACTTTAGAAAAGAAATCAGAATTTGAATAAAAATAGTATCTTGATAACATCATCGGAAATATAAATTCCCTTGCCAATTCTGTTAAATAATAAATAAAGGATACATAAGTTTCAAAACCCATATAATAAAATAAATAATGATTATAATAGTTCTGATATATTGAAATCAATAGCCACTATTGTAAATAATACAAAATAATTTATTTGGAGTTTTATGTTTACATTTCCATACCGAGCTACTTTAGTTCTCCATATTGCAATCCAACAAAGTTGTTGCAAAAGACAGTTACAACTAGGTGTTGCAATCATTTTTATATGATGTAAAGGTGGTTACAACCATCATCAAAGTTGCAGTCGGTATCCTTAAAGTACCTTTAAATAAATGAATAATACTAGATAAAAGTATATTATTATTAACAAATTTATTTACATGAATAAATATAGTAATGGTGATTCTGAATATACTTAATAATAAGATTTGCATCAACATGGCGTCAGCTGGCTTTCTGGGTATTTGTTTGTAATATTTTTCATACAAACATAATGGTCTAACATTTACTACTGTATTACTAATTAAAAAAATTTTAAGCTGATGACTCTCCTGTATGTAAGAAAAAACTAGTATGTAAAGTTGCGTGGATTCCGGTGGATTCTTAAAATATATATTAGAAGAATTTGAATTGATCAACAAAGGGTTCCAAATTTGGTAAAACCCTTAATTGTACTATGTATATAAATGGCTAAATTATGTGCAGATCTTTTCGTTGGAGAAAAACATGGCGGGAGCTTTATTAATTGGTCATATAATTTCAAAATTATACAATATGTGCATTTTTAACTTTTATACAAGCTTACCCAAAATTAAATAATGTCAGAGATGCTATTTAACTAATATATAGCATATTATTATATTAATAATGATTCTGAAGGCATTATTAAATAATTTATCAAGCTGCCGTTCATCAGAACAACATACTTCATTTAATCTTTAAAATAGAATTTTTAATAAGAAGAAAAAAACAATTTTTAAATTCTAAATTCGATAATGATGATAATGGTAATTGTAAAAGTAACAATAGTAATTCATTTTCTCATTTTTTTGCTTTAAATCATTAGATGAGATGATGACGATTGAATGATGATGATGATGATGATGATAATGATGATGATGATGATGATGATGAAGGAGAAATAAAAAGAAGAAAATCGTTTGAACAATTAAATATATATTATATATTGAATAAATATTATAGAAAGAATTTTCTTCTACTAGTTTCCAACTCAGGCTAAAATATCAATTAATTAATTAATCATCTTTTTTTCAAAGGAAAAACATAATAATAATAATAATAATAATAACAATAACGACAACAATAATATACCTTGAACATCCATTCATATTCATTGTTCTTATTAAAAGTTCCTTTTTGTAACCATTTAAGCTTGAGAGTAAATCTCGGACCAATTTCTTGTAGTTCTACTTTATCTTTACTTTGAAAATTATATCTATTTATTTATTTTTTGTTTTGTTTTATTTTATTGATAATTAATAAATTAGTAAATGCATATATTATTTAGAATATTATTGATGGTTGTTCAGTTTTGTCTACCTGTGACGTCTAAAAAATATAAAATCTCTTTGATTGTGAAATGTAGCAACTTGTCTTCCTTGAAATTGTGGTACATGAGGAAATAAAGCTTGAAACCATCTACCGATCGTATGACCAAGTCTTGTATTAAAATTATTCAATATTAATTCTGGTTTATGATTTGAAGATCTTCCATGTCCCTTGATTAGCACATTTTATTATGAAAAGTGAGACAGTGATCTTTTATCTTCATACTATAAAAAAAAAATAATAACTAAAATCTTACATAAATTTCATGACTTAATTTCACATTCGTTAGCCTGAAATAAGCAGTTGGCCCATTTGGCAAATGTATTAAAGTCATTGAATCTGGTTTCATAAATTCACCCAATAAAAAATAATTAAATATAATTAATATATTAAACACATCATTAATAATAATAATAATAATAATAATAATAATAATAATAATAATAGACCAATTACATGGTGATTTCTTATCTTCATTGATAAATAACAAATCAGTAAATTCTCTATTTTTACAAAATTCTATGATTTGTCCGATTGTGAATTTTTTATTCCTTTTGACATATTGACTGTTCGGAAATACGTCAACTAGTTCAGATGCAAACCGATAACTAGACTTTGATGTCACTTTGTTAGTAGTTATCAACATCTTTGGTGATAATCCATCTTGAAAATATTTCGAAAATTCATCAGACACTTCCTCCTCAAAAACCTCATCATCGTCCACCCCAATAATTGTTTCATCTACTTCTCGGGTATTATCAAGAGTTTTTGGTACATTTTTCTTCAATCTTGCCTTATAATAGTAATAATGATGATGGTGATCATGAATATAATTATGAATAGATGGAGGAATAAATAATTTATATATATATTTAATATTGCTACTACTTTTTTTTTCTCGGGATCTTTTTCCTCTTCCTCTCGTAATTTTAACCTCCTTTTCATTTTTTGGATGTTTTTTTCCTGTTTTTTCCTAGCGTAGTCATCTTTTTTCGTTCTATATTTTATTTTAGAAGGAGTAGCTGTCCGGCCCATGTTATTATTATTATTACTATTGTTATTACTATTTTTATTTTTATTTATTATTTATTTTGAGAAAATTAAAAAAATTTTTTTTGGGAAAAAATCTATTTATATGTAAATTTTACAAAGTAATAATAATAGTAGCAAAAAAATTCTAATAATATTAATATCTATATTAATATTCTATTATTATTATTATAGTGATGGTTTTTTTTTATTTTAAAATCACGGAATATTTTTTGTTCATTTAGTTCGACTGGTAAATGAATTAGAGAAAACTAATCGAAGGATGCTCCTTAAAGGGACAATACTATAGACTTCAGAGCCAAAGACACAATAATTGAAGGAAAATTTATTTTTTTAGACAATGTAAAAAACCATTTAGATCATGTTTCTTCACATGTAGAGAAAGTTTATTCATTATTATTTATATTGTGCATGCATTTATTATTATGAGTAAAACTAAATGAAATTTGACGCAAAATTGAAAAGGAATTCGTATTCCTTCAAACAATGGTAACAAATGTAGTAGTTATTATATTAGTATTCATTTCAACGAAATTGGTAATTATAATACTTAGTAGGAATAATTGACGTTCTTTAGAATTTCCTAATTGTGAGACGTTACAACGATTTCAAGAAACCAACAATAGATATATAAAGGGACAAAAACAATCCATAACTTTCAGAAAAAAACTTTAATTCAACAAACAACAAATTTTATTTAAAAAATGAATAATTTTAATAATTTATTATTACTATTGCCAGTTGAAATGTTAACGATGATCTTCAAAAATGTAAAATTTCCAATCTCGTTAACCTTGACGTGCAAGTTTTGGCACAAAATCTCAAA